CTTACCAAGCAAACACCACCTGTGGGTATTATTCATGGTTCATAATTATCAAGTATGGTCTTGGAGCACCTGATGCATGTATTTGTGTCCCAAAATATGCATCAGAACAACTTAGAAGTAACAAGAAAAAACTTTATCCTTTCATCGTACCATTCTAGCAACAAGTATTCCATACTATCAGCAGAGAGATCGAAATTCATTCGTGATAAAGACAGAGAATGGAGAGAGCAAAACACGGGGAGAGGAAGGTTCAACTTCATACACCTAAAATATTGAAATTGAAAATTGACCTATTTTAAATGTTGAATTTATTTTTTTGTCAAATTTGCGAACTCATCATCGGTATTAAGGTCGTGTATTTGAGTCATCTCCCGTCGTCAACAATTTTAATGATGGCATTGCATTCGCATTGATTGGTTGTCCCATGAATGATGAACAATTAATATATATTCATACATATACATACAACTATATATAGAGGGAATATATAACCGGTGAATATTGAGGATATTTTTGACATGAGTCATTAAAAGGTACATTGGTCATTAAAAAAAAATTAAGTTAGATTGAATCAGAGAATAAAAAAGGAATGTTGAATTTCTTAAAAGTATTATACTTGGATTTAATGACTTAAAAGACTAGCTAATTGGACTTTTGACCAATTTTCACAAATATTTTTAGATATCATAATAGGTGGTGTTTGATAAAACTGAAAGTTAAATTTTGAAAATTGAAGGTTGAATTTTAAACGTTGAATGTTGAATTTCTTAAAAGTATTATACTTGGATTTAATGACTTAAAAGACAAGCTAATTGGACTTTTGACCAATTTTCACAAATATTTTTAGATATCATAATAGGTGGTGTTTGATAAAACTGAAAGTTAAATTTTGAAAATTGAATGTTGAATTTTAAACGTTGAATGTTGAATTTCTTAAAAGTATTATACTTGGATTTAATGACTTAAAAGACAAGCTAATTGGACTTTTGACCAATTTTCACAAATATTTTTAGATATCATAATAGGTGGTGTTTGATAAAACTGAAAGTTAAATTTTAAAAATTGAATGTTGAATTTCTTAATTTATAGACTGTTTAATATCAACAGAAATTTAAGTATTAAAGAATGCTGAATTTGAAGCGTTGAATGTTGAATTTCATAATTTGTAGATTGTTTAGTATCAACATAAATTTAAGTATTGAATTGAATCAAACTACAAAAAAAATATAAGAAGTTGAGGTATAAAAAATATTATTATTCTAATTTTACCCTCCTTTTTAACCATCTTATCGCAAACTACCTTATTCCTGGTGGTGGTGGCGACATAATATTGGTGGTGGTGGTGGCGACACAATGGTGGTAATGGTGGCAGTGAGGGATGGTGGGTATTCAAAAGTTAAGAATGTAAAATGCATTAAGGATATGTTTATCGATCATGAAGAACTTACAAAATCGTTACTAACTAATATTTTTAACATTGAATGATAAATATATGACTTACTACTTAAAATTTTAATCTATTTTTAATAAGTGTTTAAAATATAAAGTAGTAGTATTTTTAAGTTATCAAACATGTTTAATTCATTAAATGTTTAAAATATTCAATTTTAAACATTAAGTGATATTATCAAACATCCCCTAGATAGCAACCAAAAAAAAAACAAAACAGCCCTTAGATTTGTGTACAAACCTATTCTCTTTTCTAAAGAGTGAGGGATGATAGCCCTACAATAATTTGAGTTTTAATATATATATATATATGTACACTAGTTATAACCTGTGCCTGAAGGCACAGAGTAATAAAAAATGGTAAATAATAAACATATTTGTATTCATATCTAACATCAAATCACAAATAAAAAAGAGATAAAGGAATTTAAGCATCGATTTTTAGTGGGGGTGAGAGGTGGTGGACGATAGTGGTGGTAGTAGGAGACGGTGATGGTTGTGGTGGGTGGCAATGACCGTGGCGGCTAGGGCGACGACAATAATGGTGGTGGCGGCGGCGGCGATGACGACAGTGGTGCTGGTGGTGGCAGCGGCAACGTTGGTGGCGGCGACGACGATGATAGCGGTGGTGGTGGTGGTAGTGGTGGCGACAATAGCGGTGGTGGCGGTGGCGGTGGCGGTGGTGTTAGCAGTGGTAGAGGTAGTGGTGGGGTGGTTTCAACACTATTTTTTTTTAAGTATTTATAGAAAATAATTTTTAAAAATATTTTTAAAAAGTCACTCTAAATACACTTTTAGAGCCTATTTTTCTTATTAAATTTAGAGTGTTAATATTAGCCGTTAGATTAACTTTAAAGTAAAATTTAAAGTGATCTCAACTGTGAATAGCAAAAGTCATTTTGTTTATCTTTTGTGATTTAAATTGTAAGCTATGTTATTATATATATATATAGTGCAAATGGAGAATTTAAACTTGTTTTGTATATATGGTCACATGTAGACACTTAGGGTAACATAATAGAACTACGATTCTATAATTTCTTCTTTCTACGCAAAGTTTCTTTTGGATTTTGTTTTTGCTTAGTTTGGCTGATTCAAGATGTAATTTGTGATGATTTAACTTCTCTACTCAGGTTTTTAGTTCTAAAGAAAAAATACGGACCTACCAAAATTGACTGTAGAAGTTGTCTACGTATTTGGAAAAATAAAAAGGTATCGGTTGTTATTATTTTTGTAGATATTTTTATCATTTTTGTGGATGTTTTTATCACTTTTGCATTACTGTAAGACAATAGTGGTAAAAACACCCACAAAATAATAATTTGTTTTATACCGAAAAAAGTGATAAAATTAATTACCAGGGGTGTTTATGGGCTAGGCTGGGCTCAGCCCGTGAAATTTTTTTGAGTTGAGCCTGGGTAAGGTAGTCCCAAGCCTTTATCCGAGTGAGTTATCAGGCGGGTCAGGTCAGGCCGGCCAATCACTAGACGGGCTTACTTGATGAGTTTTTTTATATACAACTTCATTTAAAAATAATAAATATTTTTGTAACTTAATATTTTTATAAATTGAAAAGGAGCTACATCACAATAGAATGAGCACATTTTAACTAGATTGACACTTACCCACCTATCTATTATTTGTACAACGCTACCCTTTAAAGCATGTATATTTAATACATGAAAAATAAAAGAATACATAATTTATAATATCTAAATTTCTAAAACTTCGAATTCTAACATTTGGGGATTTATTTCTATGTTTTGATTGGATTGGGAGGGCGGGCAGGAGGGCCCAATTGGGCTGGGGTGAGCGGACGAATTCTTGAACCGGATTTTAACGGGTTTTTTGTGGGCGGGTTATTGGCTTGAATTTTGGGCCGGGTAATGAGTTTGGAGGTAAGTCCAAGTTATTTCTTAAAGAATACTGAGTTCGAGTTTAGGTTTAGATGGACCAACTATCAGACCTATCAAATTTCAAGTTAAGTAACAATGCCCTGTGCAATTCAACCCGTGAACACCCCCGTCCTTGACTTTAACATAGCGTTACCAAATGATTGTAAAATTCATGACCTAATTACTGTGGAACGAGGGAACGAATCCCTCTCATCATTAATTTCATTTCACAACTGTTTTGAGGAATTTTCTTGGTCCTGGCTCTGAGTTCTTGCCTACGAAAGAGGTCCCCCCATTTGTTTCCAAGCACCGTCAAGCACACGCTTCCATTGTTGTTTCCCTTCCATGACTGGAACCTGTTTATGATTTCCCTCAAAAGAGATTGAGAAAGGGATACCACGACGTTACATCATTTATATACATTGCTCGACGTTGTTTTTCAATTACGAATTGGATAAAAAGAAATATTCGAATTACTTAAAAAAATAATAAAAATATAGACAAAAATAATATTGTGCTCGTATTTATATCATGTCGGGCTTGTATTTCCTTTATTGTTTGTTGGCTTGTACTCTCCACATCATGTCGAGCTTGTAATTCCGTTACATTTTTTTTCCCATAATTGGTTTTTGATTGAATTTTGACTAGATTTTTTTTTATTTTAAAAGAAAAAGATAAATAGTATAATTAACATTGGTTTATATCATATTAACAGTGTTAAGCGAATGGTAATTCCTATAATTTTCCTAGATTTTTTCCGCATTGTTAAATCAGAACGACAAGAATAACCGTAGATTTTGACATTATCTCTTCAATAATGTTATTTGTAATTAATATCAGGACCAAATTTAGAAAATTAATACTTCATCTGTTCCTAAATATCTGTCGTTTTACACAATTTTTTTGTTTCATAATATCTGTCATTTAATGAAACCAATGCATAATTAATATTTTTTCTTTCAAATTTAGGCTTAACTTTTCAATACATTAGATTTGGTGAAAACTAAGTGTTTTTCATATTCTTTTCATTCTCAATACATATTAAATAAGGGTATTTTAGTCTTGTGTAATTATTTTTTTACTCATATTAGAGCAATTTAATAGCTTCCTTAATCCCTGTACAAAAAATTTAAACGACATATATTTAGAAAAAATAATACTAGATGGACTTAAAAACTAAGCTTAAAAATTAGACTTGATAATCTCAACCATTGAATAGGTAGTGAGTCCTAATAAATACTGAGACCCACAGTGAAATCAATGATTAAGATTATCAAGTCTAAATTTTAAATTTACCTTTTAAGTCCATATAGTATTTCTCATTTAGGAATAGAGAAATTACATTGTAACAATTAAATTAAATGTGCATTTCATTAAATACTAAGAATTTTGATCTCTCCATTCCACGTTCTTTCAATTTCATATCATCTACCACCAATACAAATGGGGGCCAACATTTATTAGTGAGTCCCTCGTACGTACACGGTGATGGGTCAAGTCCAGTGTGAACAACGGAAAAGGAAAAACCCGTGTTTCGTCATATATTTCACAAGTTCCACGGTTAGTCTATCATCGTCTGGCCATTGTTCATCTGTGTCATCGATCGGATAAGAAAACACACACAACACCAACACCAACAACCACCACTAGAACATCATGGCGGCCGGAGATTCATCAGGGAGCTCTCTCGAATACACTCCCACATGGGCTTTTGCCACTCTTTGCTTTGTTATCATTTCCATCTCTCTCAGTCTTGTGCACTCTATCCACCTCCTTGCCACCGTAAGTGTATCACCAACACCATTATCTCTCTCTCTCTCTCTCTACATATATATATATATATGTATAATATATGCTTGTAAATACATGTCCAGCTGTCTATCTCCAACAATAAGTAGGAGCAGTTCTCGGTATGGAGTGTTGTGAGGGCTTTTATTTGGGCGTTAATGGAAGATTCTATTATCCTAATAGAAATTGGTGATGTTTGTCTAAGTTAACACATAGGGGCTTTGGAAATATTCCGTATTCCGTATTCCGTACATTAGGAAATCGATCTTTCAACTTTCTTCATAGCTGCTATTAATTAATGCAAGCAATTTGGCATATTGCAAATAAAACAATAGTACAGTGTCGAGTTTCACAAGTACACTGACATATTTTGTTATATTATTATTACTATTGGTGTAGTGGCTTAAAAAGCGTCAAAAAATTGCACTCAATGATGCTGTGGACAAACTTAAATCAGGTGCGATCATCGTATCGAAAAATTATNCTTTTTTCTATAATAATGCATGAAAACTAAAAAAATTAAATGCATTGACTAAACGGTCCAGTCATGGGCCAATGTTGACACTCGTGAAAGACATTTACGAGGTTAACAAGTCTTGACTTTAAGAGATAAACTTTTCTATTTTTACATTAGGCTATGATAAGTCTATGTTGTTGCAGTTAATATCCTTCACCATAGAAAAGACCTCAAAGTAAACTAAATTGTCGGGAAATAATTTAGACATTTTTAATATATATTTTTTAATTTCACTAAATTCGAACGAGGTATTGGTTTAAGAGAATACCGAAAATATATATTACTTCTAAAAGATCTTTTTTTCGTTTTATTTTTTTTTGGTCAAATGCAGATCCTAATCGATTTAGATTCACAAGGCAAACCACATTTGGAAGAAGGCACATGACAATTTGTACAGAATCATCAGTCCAACTCTGGATGGTGAGTTTTCTATTCCACTTCTCTTATATGATTAGCATCTTTTGATTAATCCTTTAGGCCTGTTTGATAGCCGTAATAAAAATAGATGTATTAGATAAAATAATACAGTCTAATATAATATAAATAGNATATATATATATATATATGTATAATATATGCTTGTAAATACATGTCCAGCTGTCTATCTCCAACAATAAGTAGGAGCAGTTCTCGGTATGGAGTGTTGTGAGGGCTTTTATTTGGGCGTTAATGGAAGATTCTATTATCCTAATAGAAATTGGTGATGTTTGTCTAAGTTAACACATAGGGGCTTTGGAAATATTCCGTATTCCGTACATTAGGAAATCGATCTTTCAACTTTCTTCATAGCTGCTATTAATTAATGCAAGCAATTTGGCATATTGCAAATAAAACAATAGTACAGTGTCGAGTTTCACAAGTACACTGACATATTTTGTTATATTATTATTACTATTGGTGTAGTGGCTTAAAAAGCGTCAAAAAATTGCACTCAATGATGCTGTGGACAAACTTAAATCAGGTGCGATCATCGTATCGAAAAATTATTTTATGATATCGTAATTGGGCATTACATTAACTGTTATTTTGCTGTGTTTTTTTTTTTTTCTGTGGCAGAGCTTATGTTGCTAGGATTCATGTCTCTTCTACTTGCAGTAACTCAAGAATCTATTTCTAAGATCTGTGTATCAAAAAAGATAGCAGATATAATGCTTCCATGCCGTAAAGAAATCACCACCACAGCGCAAAATAACACAGTGAAAGATTATGAGGACTTCAGTGTTGGTGTTATAAAGTTTTCATTATTGGTGGGTGGTTCGTATAATAGTAGTTCATGGATTCGACAGAGACAACTGGCCATTACTGCAATTCCTCTCGATTCTTGCAGTTCTAAAGTATGTCTCCAAGTACATATTCTCCTTCACAAATATGGTCTTGGAAGGAGCGGTGGTGGTGGTGGTGTGCTCATAAGTGTTCCTAGATTTTGTTTGTCAGCAACACTGTTATCTATAGACAACATTTTATTCAATTTTTCTGAACTTAGGAAGAGTTTTTTTTAGAGTTCTTGAGACTTTTGAAAATTTCTCTATCAAATTTGATCAGTTTAAACTGAAGACGTTGCGTGTGCGTATACGTGTATATGTGAGAGAGAGAGAGAGAGAGGAACTGATTGCTTCAATTTGAATTTTTGCAGGGAAAGGTTTCATTGATGAGCCAAACAGGGATTCACCAGCTTCATATATTCATATTTGTGTTAGCAATTATGCAGATTGTTTATAGCGTTCTCACCATGGCTTTGGGTGGGGCCAAGGTATAGATATTTTCCACAACAATATTTTCACTTCAATACAAGAATTTGACTTCAAGGTATAGATATAGCGTTCTCATTTTTAATTTCTTACAGATGAGGAGTTGGAAAGCTTGGGAGAAAGAAACACAAACCATTGAGTACCAAGTGGCAAATGGTATGTCTTACATCACTTTCACCTATTAATTTTATTTACTCAATGAGATCTCTGTGTCCACAATTTTTTAAGTATGCCGAGGTTAACGATTTGTTTTATGGTCATCGTCTTTTCAGTTGAATATAAAGGTTGTAGGTTTGAATATCATTGTCCCTTTTTTCTATAATAATGCATGAAAACTAAAAAAATTAAATGCATTGACTAAACGGTCCAGTCATGGGCCAATGTTGACACTCGTGAAAGACATTTACGAGGTTAACAAGTCTTGACTTTAAGAGATAAACTTTTCTATTTTTACATTAGGCTATGATAAGTCTATGTTGTTGCAGTTAATATCCTTCACCATAGAAAAGACCTCAAAGTAAACTAAATTGTCGGGAAATAATTTAGACATTTTTAATATATATTTTTTAATTTCACTAAATTCGAACGAGGTATTGGTTTAAGAGAATACCGAAAATATATATTACTTCTAAAAGATCTTTTTTTCGTTTTATTTTTTTTTGGTCAAATGCAGATCCTAATCGATTTAGATTCACAAGGCAAACCACATTTGGAAGAAGGCACATGACAATTTGTACAGAATCATCAGTCCAACTCTGGATGGTGAGTTTTCTATTCCACTTCTCTTATATGATTAGCATCTTTTGATTAATCCTTTAGGCCTGTTTGATAGCCGTAATAAAAATAGATGTATTAGATAAAATAATACAGTCTAATATAATATAAATAGATTAAGACAAGATTAAATATGATATTAGAATAATACGTAATTTTATTTAGTGTTTGACATTACATAATATAAGCGTTATATAGTTGTTATTTAATCTAACTACTTGTTTGTTTGAGAATTATTTCAACGTATTAATGTTAAATTAACAAAAATACCCTCAATCAGTATTTATTACATTGATGACAACTTGAATTTATCACTTGGGGGTTATAATAATAAATGTGTAGAATAATATATTTGAATTGGATTATAATACCACCTCTTTTGATGGTATTAAAAAACTTCCATAATACAGGTCTATCGTATAAAATATATACGATAAGTATACGTTTTTGAAATTAATACGGTATCAAATTTGATTATCAAATAAAATATTAAGCCCGATTAAAAAAAATAATATAATATAATATTTAATTTCCTCGTAATACATTCACTAAACGAGCTCTTATAGTACACATAAAATTTCAAGGTACACGTGACCCGAAACCGGCGGCCCATCATGTCACATGACGGCCCGACCTCTCATGTGGAGACCCATGGGTAGAACACAGGATGGGCCGATTTGACATGTGAAGGCCCATGGACTGGCTTTGTCCACGGGTCAGCCCATGGGATCCCAAAAGTAAAACAACCAGAGTTTGTTATTTTAAGTTAAACACTAAGAAAGAAAAATTGGAAGGAGGTACACTCAATTAGACTTAATTGTAAAAAAATAAATAAAAAAAATGTTAGNTTTTTTTTTTTTTTTCTGTGGCAGAGCTTATGTTGCTAGGGTTCATGTCTCTTCTACTTGCAGTAACTCAAAAATCTATTTCTGAGATCTGTGTATCAAAAAAGATAGCAGATATAATGCTTCCATGCCGTAAAGAAATCACCACCACAGCGCAAAATAACACAGTGAAAGATTATGAGGACTTCAGTGTTGGTGTTATAAAGTTTTCATTATTGGTGGGTGGTTCGTATAATAGTAGCTCATGGATTCGACAGAGACAACTGGCCATTACTGCAGTTCCTCTCGATTCTTGCAGTTCTAAAGTATGTCTCCAAGTACATATTCTCCTTCACAAATATGGTCTTGGAAGGAGCGGTGGTGGTGGTGGTGTGCTCATAAGTGTTCCTAGATTTTGTTTGTCAGCAACACTGTTATCTATAGACAATATTTTATTCAATTTTTCTGAACTTAAGAAGGGTTTTTTTTAGAGTTCTTGAGACTTTTGAAAATTTCTCTATCAAATTTGATCAGTTTAAACTGAAGACGTTGCGTGTGCGTATACGTGTATATGTGTGAGAGAGAGAGAGAGAGAGAGGAACTGATTGCTTCAATTTGAATTTTTGCAGGGAAAGGTTTCATTGATGAGCCAAACAGGGATTCACCAGCTTCATATATTCATATTTGTGTTAGCAATTATGCAGATTGTTTATAGCGTTCTCACCATGGCTTTGGGTGGGGCCAAGGTATAGATATTTTCCACAACAATATTTTCACTTCAATACAAGAATTTGACTTCAAGGTATAGATATAGCGTTCTCATTTTTAATTTCTTACAGATGAGGAGTTGGAAAGCTTGGGAGAAAGAAACACAAACCATTGAGTACCAAGTGGCAAATGGTATGTCTTACATCACTTTCACCTATTAATTTTATTTACTCAATGAGATCTCTGTGTCCACAATTTTTTAAGTATGCCGAGGTTAACGATTTGTTTTATGGTCATCGTCTTTTCAGTTGAATATAAAGGTTGTAGGTTTGAATATCATTGTCCCTTTTTTCTATAATAATGCATGAAAACTAAAAAAATTAAATGCATTGACTAAACGGTCCAGTCATGGGCCAATGTTGACACTCGTGAAAGACATTTACGAGGTTAACAAGTCTTGACTTTAAGAGATAAACTTTTCTATTTTTACATTAGGCTATGATAAGTCTATGTTGTTGCAGTTAATATCCTTCACCATAGAAAAGACCTCAAAGTAAACTAAATTGTCGGGAAATAATTTAGACATTTTTAATATATATTTTTTAATTTCACTAAATTCGAACGAGGTATTGGTTTAAGAGAATACCGAAAATATATATTACTTCTAAAAGATCTTTTTTTCGTTTTATTTTTTTTTGGTCAAATGCAGATCCTAATCGATTTAGATTCACAAGGCAAACCACATTTGGAAGAAGGCACATGACAATTTGTACAGAATCATCAGTCCAACTCTGGATGGTGAGTTTTCTATTCCACTTCTCTTATATGATTAGCATCTTTTGATTAATCCTTTAGGCCTGTTTGATAGCCGTAATAAAAATAGATGTATTAGATAAAATAATACAGTCTAATATAATATAAATAGATTAAGACAAGATTAAATATGATATTAGAATAATACGTAATTTTATTTAGTGTTTGACATTACATAATATAAGCGTTATATAGTTGTTATTTAATCTAACTACTTGTTTGTTTGAGAATTATTTCAACGTATTAATGTTAAATTAACAAAAATACCCTCAATCAGTATTTATTACATTGATGACAACTTGAATTTATCACTTGGGGGTTATAATAATAAATGTGTAGAATAATATATTTGAATTGGATTATAATACCACCTCTTTTGATGGTATTAAAAAACTTCCATAATACAGGTCTATCGTATAAAATATATACGATAAGTATACGTTTTTGAAATTAATACGGTATCAAATTTGATTATCAAATAAAATATTAAGCCCGATTAAAAAAAATAATATAATATAATATTTAATTTCCTCGTAATACATTCACTAAACGAGCTCTTATAGTACACATAAAATTTCAAGGTACACGTGACCCGAAACCGGCGGCCCATCATGTCACATGACGGCCCGACCTCTCATGTGGAGACCCATGGGTAGAACACAGGATGGGCCGATTTGACATGTGAAGGCCCATGGACTGGCTTTGTCCACGGGTCAGCCCATGGGATCCCAAAAGTAAAACAACCAGAGTTTGTTATTTTAAGTTAAACACTAAGAAAGAAAAATTGGAAGGAGGTACACTCAATTAGACTTAATTGTAAAAAAATAAATAAAAAAAATGTTAGATAATTAAGTTCTTAATTTTGATATTTATTTGTATCTAAGTACATTATTTGAATTTTATTGATTTTTTTGTTACTTTTTGACTTCCATTAATCTTTGTGTATTTAATGCATTATTTTTCTTTGGAAAGTGGTGCATTAAACATCTCCTAGTTTTATGGGAGAATTTTAATACATACTTTTGTATTATATATATATACTTTTGTATGTATGCATGTATTTACTTATTGTTAAATCTTTTATCTAAATTTTGAATTATTTTTTAATGCATTNTAACACAGTGAAAGATTATGAGGACTTCAGTGTTGGTGTTATAAAGTTTTCATTATTGGTGGGTGGTTCGTATAATAGTAGTTCATGGATTCGACAGAGACAACTGGCCATTACTGCAATTCCTCTCGATTCTTGCAGTTCTAAAGTATGTCTCCAAGTACATATTCTCCTTCACAAATATGGTCTTGGAAGGAGCGGTGGTGGTGGTGGTGTGCTCATAAGTGTTCCTAGATTTTGTTTGTCAGCAACACTGTTATCTATAGACAACATTTTATTCAATTTTTCTGAACTTAGGAAGANCTCCTTCACAAATATGGTCTTGGAAGGAGCGGTGGTGGTGGTGGTGTGCTCATAAGTGTTCCTAGATTTTGTTTGTCAGCAACACTGTTATCTATAGACAATATTTTATTCAATTTTTCTGAACTTAAGAAGGNTAAAAAAAAAAAACGCTTGAATCAAGGTGCATTAAACATAATTTGAAAACAAAATCACTTTCTAAAAAAAAAAATATGCATGAATCAAGGTGCATTAATTACGCTTGTATATATATACATGTATTAACAAATACACATGAATCAAGATGCATTAAATATGTATTTATATGTATTAATAAATACATATGAATCAAGATACATTAAAGATAAAAGATTTTGAATTAAATGACCCTAAAATGGGCATTTATGTCTTTGTAACTTACCTGCATACTTTTTTCTACAATATTTTTTTTTATATACTTTTTACCAAATAAACCTAATTAAGTGTACTAATTTTCAAAAAAACCCACTAAAAAATAAAAAAAGTCGAATTATGAAGCTTTTAAAGGTTCATTAAGATCGGCCCTAAAGGATAATCCCTTGAAGACCAAAATAGGCCGAAGATTACCGGATGAATATCCCATGGCCCGGCCCAAGAGTGGGCACAATCGATTGACTGGTGAACCAATCCAACCCATTGCTGACGCTTTAGTATTAAAGTAGTACTTGTAATAAAAAGATGGGATTTGCTTTGATTTGAGAGCCAAAGCTACGGAGAAGCCCATCTCTATGCATTTAGAGAAGAAATGGAATCCATGGTCCTCACCGATGCATCCAACGGCTAACAATCGTTCTTAGACTCCCCATCCTCATCTCTATCGTTTGCCGAAATCTCTACCAACGATGATCTTCCACTCTCCTCTCCTCCATTCTTACTCATACGCCCCGAAACACCCAATCAAAACCCTAGCTTTTCCTCCTCCCTTTTCAATTCAATCCGCAAACCACCTTTCTACTCCGACGTGGTCTTCAAATCCTTCGACAATGAACACATCTCAAATATCAAAGGCCACGATAGCTCGTAAACCTCTCCACGATCGTCATCTTCATTGTGGTCATCGGAATATATAAAAATTTTGGTGTCCAATACGAAAAGAGAACAGGAGCTAGCAAATTCCTTGTTCCAAGTGATAGTACTTGCACTAATTCTTTAATTACTACGAGAACTAGTTTGTTAATACTTATTTAATTTAATTTCAAACTCAAATTATTCAAACACGATAATTTTGTTAATAGTGTGATGATCAACTAAATTGGAGAAAATTCCTTCGGTATTAAGTAAAATTCATTTTAAATTCACACCTTAAAATTTAGACAGTGATAACGAAATTTACTATCTGTATCACCATTACTGTAGTTATTATTGTCATCGTATGATTGTCTAATTCAATAGAATTTTGATGGTGACTATGACTATTACTGTTATTGCTTAGTTGTTTAGTTTACGTTACTGTCTAGTTCCGCAGAATTTTGACAGTAATTGTAA